TATATATAAGCATATATACTTTTTATGCATTGTATTATATTATTTATTTCTCAAATAAGCTACCAAGTTACTACTATTACTATTTTTCTTATTATACTTGCTTTCTAAAGGGAAACTCAGAAATCTCACATAGCTGGATTAAAAAGTAGCAGAGCAAGGATTCAAATCTGTGCCTGATTCCAAAGTCATTATTCTTTCCATGCTTTTTTATGGTCTGTTGCCTTTTCATGTGAAGTAAATGGTAATAATGATAATAAATATAAAAATGAGAGCAGACACTTGGAAAAATGAGAACATCGTAATTATCATTTTTGTGACTTATGATTACAGCGGTAAAAATAACATAAAGACTGGAAAAGAATATAAACCAAAATTGATTTGAGGTTGCAGGGTCATAGGTGAATTTGCTTTTCTTTTATTTAAAGTTTTTGGTGTTGCTATGAAACTCTTGAAATACATTTTTAGTAAATTAGAGCAGGATAAGGAAATCACTTCAGGAAAGAAAGTGTTTAGTTTACTCATATTTTGTTAAAGGTCAGCTTCAGTGCATAGCTCTTAGCAGGCATTAATAGGTGTGATATTGTGCACCTATCAACGTAACAGAATTTGTATATTGACTCACTTCATGTAGCTTATCCAGGAGTGACTGTTTCAGATGTTACTCCATTAAGGACAATTTCTGTCCCTAATTTCTAGTGTTTGCAGTAAGTATCTTGGATCTTTAAAAAGAATTTAAATTATCTTTATATTGAGAGTCTACTGAGTTTAGTTATTTGCAAATAAATGTGTCATCTGGCACATTAAAGAGTTAGGGACTCCTCCTAAGCAACACTGGAAGTGAAAACAGAGTTGACTTCAGAGTCAGATACCTTCAGGCTTGGACCCCTGCTCTTCTGTGACTAAACTTCGCAAAGCAAGACCCATAACACAGAAGCCATAAGAGGGGGAAAATGGTAAATTTGACCACATAAAATTTAGAAATGTCTGCATGAAAAAAGCTGCAAATAACAAACAGGGAAAATTCCTTAGTACATAAAGCATTCTTATAAGTCAGTGAGAAAAAAAGACCAACAACCAGTAGGAACACGGGAAAGGACACAAAATATGCAGTTAACAAGCTGCTGCTTTTCACTTAACAGATTCACAAAGATCAAAAAGTTAGCTATAGCAGATAAGAGAGTCTCATTCACTGTTCTCAGTACTTGTATCCTTTTACTTAACCCTGACAGCAGTCCTATGAAATAGTTCTGTTATTTTACACATAGTTCTGATGAGTGAACGGAGGCACAAAAAAGGTTAAGTAACTTGCCACAGTTTAGTTTAAGTTCCAGAATTGGAGTTGGAGCACTTTGAGGACGGAGCCCTCCCTCCCTCTTAACGTAAGAAACGCACTGTTATCCCTGTCAGTACTAGCCATGAGCCATAGAGGCATCCTCAAAGTATAAAGTCGGGTAAAAGAACATTTGTCATCTTTTATTAATCATCTTCTACATTCAGATTCTGGGAATTTTATGTATTAATGCATCAGATCCTCACAACTTTAGCAGGTAGGTGGCAGTATTCTTATTTTACAGAAGAGGAGACAAGCTCACAGAGATAGTTTATATAAAGAATTATAGCTAGCATATTTCACAGCCAGAATTCAAACCTTAGTCTTATTCCAGAGCCCATGCTTTCTAGGGTTATGCGTAAGAATTTGATTTGATGAAATTGAATATATGTATCATTTCTAGCATTTATTTTCCTCTGGGGGGGAATTTCTCATGTAGAAGGATAAAGCATTCTGGGCTTCCCTGGTCTCTGCTCTGCTGTCTGTAGAGCTACCAGGCTAACTATGTCCTTAGCTTATAATATCTGCTCTGAATCCCTATCTTTTCACCTTGGTTAGACTTGGTGAATTGAACATTTTAAGGCTTCCCTTTCTCTTAGAGCACAGCTGACTAGAGCTTCAGGAATGGGCTTTAACAGTGAATCACCTGAATTTGTAACCCAGTTTTGTCTGTAAATAAACTGGAAGGGGATAGGCCATTTGCTTTTATCTAATTTGTAAAAGAAGACTAAGAACTACTGCCTTTGAGCCTAAGCAGACACCATACTTCATTCCCATTTCCTTGTCCCCTTAGGGCCTTTAGAGCTAAGGGTGTCACAGCTGAATGCTTAATTACCTCTGTGGCACAGTCACCTTTCACAATTTTACTTACAGCCCCTTCATTCCTTCATTAGATGGCTTCACCTACGCAGAATTTTGAGAAACTGGATGCGCAGGCATTTAGTGGAAGCTCAAATGCAAAATGCTATCCTGAAAACCTACCTTCAACCCCAAAAGCTTAAGAGGTGATGCATAGAGAGAAAGGGAATCAGTTGTAGGGACCGAGATTCATATTAACATAGGTAAGGACTCTGTTATACTAGCCTTCCTCTCCCTTATCTCTCCTTCCCCCAAGAACAAGAACCTTACCCGTTAGAAGGACCTCACCTAAGTAATAAAAGCAGAAAATGTTTCAAAGCACTGATGACGTAAGAAGACATCTGAACTTGCCAGGAATAAATATACAAATTCATGAAGGGTTTTTAATGAAGAACTAAATTAATGAAAAAGGCTAAGGTGAATAATAATATTCTTTTGATGTTTTAGGCAGGACCAGATGATATTAGGAACTTTGACGCAGCATTTACGGAAGAAACAGTTCCATATTCTGTGTGTGTGTCTACTGACTATTCTATAGTGAATGCCAGCGTAATGGAGGCCGATGATGCTTTCGTTGGTTTCTCTTATGCACCTCCTTCAGAAGACTTATTTTTGTGAACATTTTGCCATCTGGAAACCATTGAGCATATATAAGCCTACGAACAGATGAGACTGAAGCTCCTGTTTGTGTGAATATATTCAAATATGTTTAGTGCCTCATTTTTACATGTAATGTTAACAACTATGAAAATGTATTTTCTGCTGTATGCAAGAAAATAGGGCATTTCAAAGAGCTAGGTTTTGAATTAAAATTTGTATTCTTGTTTATTAAGCTTATTTTTAAACAGAAATTTTAAAAGCTGTTGTTCTTAGCATTAACCTATTTTTAAAGAAAACTGTTTTGCTAATGACTGTTTTTTTCCAAGTTTACACTAACCAAGATAGACTGTTTTTCAACAGCCTCTTTCAGTTCAGTTAACATATATTAATGCCTTTGTAACTCTCTACTTTGACCTTTGTTCTCAGATCAGAACTATGCAATTTGTACATGGTTGTTTAAGAAGAAACCATATCTGTCCATAATAAATCACTGCTTGCCATAATCAGTCTTGGTAAGGATTAAAATGTAAAAGCATAGTTAACACATTGGCTGCTAATTAACATTGAATAACTGTTCATTCTGCAGATCAAATTAGGAAGTAACAAAAGGAGGCTCTAACTGGGTAGCTCAGTTGGGTAGACCATTGTCCCGATACACCAAGGTTTCAGGTTTGATCCCTGGTCAGGGGACATACAAGAGTCAACCAATGAATGCATCAATAAGTGGATCAACAAATCAAGATCTCTCTCTCTCCCTCTCCCTCTCTCCTCATCTCTCTTGCTCAAATAAAAGTAACAAAAGAAAATCCTTTGCTTTTGAAATACCAATTTAAATTTGTGAATTATTTTTTCTCTGGAGTAAAAGTAAATGTTCAATAGTTGACATTTTAAATATTCCCAAAGATCTGAAGGGTAATGAAGTACTGCTGGATTTTTTTTTTAGGTGGTACCAAAATGAATGTCTCTGTGTCATGTATTTATATTACAAATACATTCTATTTATGTTCTTTTTGTTCTTTTGAATGTTTAATATACTGTTAAGTAGGCCTAAATCTTGGTATTTAGTTTTGCAAATAGCTCTTCAAAACTGTCTCCCTAATTGGTTAAGTGAAAAATATTGAGCTTTCTCAAGTATTGACCTAACTGGGAATTAAAAAGTAGAATAGCAAGTTCTGGATCAATATAAATGTATACAGTTTCACTATAGTATAACAGAAGTTAAAAATAATTCAGACAGATGCCTAGCCAGTATTTTATGTATCTTAGAAAATGTATGGGAAATTGATCTTAAAGTCATACTAAAAACCAGCTAACTTGTAAAAGAAAATAGCTACAGAAAAACTAAAAAAAAAATGCTTATCTTGGAATTCTGATTTTTAGTTTAGAGATTTTTCAAGATATGTAGGAAATATTGTGAAAGAGTTTAGTGACCCAGTTTAGATGCTTCAAGAACAAGCATTCTTTCCATCTATTTTCTCTTGAGAAAGAAATCACAAAAGCATTTTACACCAATACCCTATGGCTTAAAAATGTGCAGCGGAATCGGGGGAGAGAGGTGTGCTTTTCTTTGAGTAATAATATTTGCATTCAATACACTGAATCTTCCTTTAGAGGTAATAAGACTTTCATAGCAACACTGTAAATATTTGGTTTATTTGTCACTACTGTAAGTTCTGCTTTTACACAAAGCAAAATAAAAACTAGTTTCTTGTATGATTTTTTACTCAGCCACTCCTTAATTAAACTGCCAAAAATTAAAGTGCAATACTGTATATTTTTTAAGAACAAATTTAAAATAGAATGTTGATGTTTTTGGATCTCAAAAATATACAAATCTTACATAGTATAATAAAACTAGCAAAAAGATTAATGATCATCTAATGCCTGTCATTATTTTAAATTGAAATTGGTGATGGTTACAGTAGTCATTACAAAATGAGTTACATATATGTGTGAGGAAGACAAGTAAAATTTTAACTGAATATTTGGACACATAAAAATTACTAGATTAGCCCTGGCCAGTGTGACTCAGTTGATTGGGTGTCACTCTGTGCATTGAAGGGTTGTGGGTTCGATTCCTAGTCAGGGTACATGCCCAGGTTGCAGGTTTGATCCCCAGCTAGGGGTGTGCAGGACGCAGCAGATCAATGGTTTTCTCCCTCTCTCCCCCTCTCCCTTCCTCTCTCTAAAAATCAATAAAAAAATCTTTTTAAAAAATTACTAGATTATTCCATACCCCAAGGTGACTGTTCATTTATTTTAAACCCTAAAGTGTACATATGAGTTTCCAGTGGCTTGAATACCTTGAAGTGATATGCCAAGTTTTGTGTGTGAATGAAATTGACTTAGGGTAGGAAGTGCTACGTAGCTTTGTTCAGATGCTCATAAGGATCACTGTTATAAAAAGATAGACTTTCTTCACTCCCACTTTGTTCTTTACTTACCTAATACCAAGAGAAATTAGCATCAGCTCTCTAACTTCCCTGAAAGCATTCCAGTTGGAGATTTATATCATTTATTTAGCATTTTTGTGTCTTACCAATATTGTATAATTACCCATTTGTAATCCTTTAAGCATATTCCTTAGTAGTTGAAAGGTTTCCTACACAAAAGTATTTCTCATTTTACTATTTCTTTATATTACACCCATTTTTTACAGAGGTAATTAAGTCAGAAAAAATATAACTGTCTCAAAATCTAACTTCCTAGTTATTCAAAGTCAAGATAGTGGATAATAATTTAAAGTAATGTTACACAAAGAAAAAAGCCAATAGAGAAGTATAAGTTCAGCATGATATTAGCAATAAAGGAGCCAACCAAAGGGTCCTCTACTAAAAAGTTTATTTTTACATCATGTCCTGGAAATGATGGATCACCATATGAATCTTGAGGGCATAGTGTAAAACAAAGTAACAATCACTTGCCCGGCTGGCGTGGCTCAGCGGTTGAACATCAACCTAGGATCCAGGAGATCGAGGTTTGATTCTGGTCAGGGCGCATGCCAGTGTTGTGGGTTTGATCCCCAGCTGGGGTCATGCAGGAGGCACCAATCAATGACGACCCTCTCATCGATGTTTCTATCTCCCTCTCCCTTTCTTTCTCTGAAATCAATAAAAATGTATTTAAAAATAAAAAAATAACATCACTCTTCATAACCCCACTTTCTGGAAGAACTGGGCACAGCGATTTTAGAAGCCTTGCATGCAAACATGACTTGGGAGTTATTGCTGTAAGTCATCCTTTGCAGGAATATATATCATAGATTCATCATTTTTTGTAATGTATTTTCATCATTTTTAGAGGAAACAGGTTCCCATGTTAATATTAGTTAAATCTTTGTGAGAAAGTCTGCAATGAGTTGTCCGTATTTTAAGTGTTTTTATGTTTTATTGACTCACGGAATCCAGAGGCTTCCTTACATGAAAACACACTCAAATGGTCCAATTTGATCTTGTTCATGTTGGATTTTTTCCATTCCTTCCACATAGTAGTTAATACAGCCTTGCAGTGTTGAATTTTTCTCTTACGCCTCAATGACAGTAGTAATGTGACAATAACAGTTTACTTTGTTAGTGATACATTGATGTTGAACACCAACACTTCATTTACTTTAGTAAGATATCCCTAGCAGTATGTTTCAATTAGATATCAAAAGCAAATAAACCGTTCTTGTTTGCAGATGACATGAATATCTTTGTGGGAAATCCAATAAGATTGCATGATTCAAGGTTAATATAAAAAAAATCACTTCTTTATATACCAGCAACAAATTGAAATTTGAAATTAAAAACACCACTTACATTAGCACCCCCCCCAAAAAAAATTGGTAGAAATCCTAATAAAATATGTGTAAGATCTATATGAGGAAAACTACCTTCTCTCTGTACAGTTTGCCTATTCTCGACATTTCATATCAGCAGTGTCAATATTGGGCCTCTCGTGTCTGCTTTCGCTCTGCACCGTGTTTTCAAGGCTCATCCACGTTGCAGCAGGTGTTAGTACCTCATTCCTTTTTGTGGCCAAATAACCCCATTGCATGGACATACCACACTTTGTGCACTTTTTGGCTATTATTAATATGACGAACATTCATTCATGTATACATTTCTGTGTGAGCATGTGTTTCAATTCTCTCATATCTGTATATCATGTGGCTTGGAATTGTTGGGTCATATAGTAACTCTGCGTTTAGTCTTTTAAGGAGTCCCGTAATATTTTCCAAATTGCACCATTTTGCATCCCACCAGGAGAGTTAGTTTTTTAGACAAACATGGGCACCGTCGGCCTGTGACAAGAACAACCAATGGTTTCTACCTTTTTCTCTGGGCTCCGTTTTGCAGGGAGTGATTGACAGGGCGAGGCGCCTGGGGGCCTAGTTGCCCCAGTGACTCCGCGGTGCGGTCCCGGCAGCCCCCGCGCGGCCGACCGCGGCCCGAAGGTG